GTGTAGAAAAGCCTGGAATTGTGGATATCAAACTACTTGGCTGTGTGACCATTGTTTTGGATTGCATGTGGCACTTCACTTAAAGCTTCCTGTGCATTATGGTTGCTTGACTGCATGTCTTTAACCTAGACAGTTTATATTATGTTCCTAGTTTATTTAACAGGGGCTAAACACAACTTAAACTATAGATTTAATGCATATACAAATACTTATCTGTACATTTAATATTGAATGCCTGTTTGCCATTGTTGCAACATTTCCCTTATCTTTAGATCATAGTTGATATAGCTGAACTGGGTGGAACTGGTTGTTTCTAGTTCCTTCTCGCAGACCTTACTGAATGTTGCTCATACATGTTTTTAGACGGACCTCAAAAGATTGCCCTTTGGTCTGTTAAATACATGTAGAATCCAGCCAAGCTGCCTCTTCAGATCAAACATGTTTTCATCGCGCATATCGTGCCCACAGAAACTTTGACCCACAGTAAGCATCTCCAAACATATCATTAGCATATGTGGGTGAATTAGAAATGGGATTTAATGGTGGGTTTGAAGAGCAGTCATTTATAAAAAAGTCTCAAGTAGCCTCCATAAATGTTTCAAGCTCACAGACGGGGGGAGTGAATAAATGGTTCATAAGTTAGCAAATAAACTAAATGTGGAAATGCAAGGTTTTAGTGAGAAGATATGAATTCTGCGTGTAAACTGAAGAGACGCCTGTCTTCCCAAGAATACCTCGTAGATGAAAGCAAAGCAGCGGTGGGGTGGAGAAAAGCACAGGGTTAGAAGGGGTTGACGGGAGACTGGATCTGACTGCAGCTTTTAGGTTCAGTAGGCCAGTGAGGCTGGAAAGCAGAAGAAACAGAGGAGGACCTCCTGCTGAGATGACAGCTTCTAAAGAAAACACTCAGACATGCAGTGTCACTAACGCTCTGTGATGACACTGAAAAGAAAAGACTAACACCAGCACCTCGGGGGAAAGAGCCGGCAGAAGTTGAAGGTCTCATTTTCCACATTGCATCACTAATGAGGGTTACCCTTGCTTCAAAGACACCCTGCATCTGGCTTCAAGTCTTTTTCTGTACATTCAAAGTGGGTAGAGCTGTTCAAAGGATTAGACGTCCATCAGTGTTCACTGTTTAGTATCATGTACTGCTGAGAGGGTACAAACACACTTTAAATGCAGTTTAGGAGCTTTGCATTTCTTTTTTCGGGTGCCTTTCTGCTCCCATCTGAGGTAAACTATCACACAAAGGCTCTCAATGTACACTCATTTGATTCATCCATCTCCAGTCACTGTCCTCCTCACTCATTGACTCTTTCCAATTCCCCCCAGCACCACTCATAGGGTGCGTAGTGTAGGGCAGCTGCAGTGTAGCCACGCTTTCATAGCTGTCTCTCTTGTGCATGTCAATTCACTCTGCCCGGCAGCCAAGCACAATCTCCCTCTGTGCTGCCTCATAAATCATGTCTTTCTCAGCAAAACACTTCTAATGCTGCAATGGGGTGCAGGGTCATAGTGACATTGTGCGGCTTCCTTCTCTCGATTTCCAGTCTCCTTGTTCTTGGTATCCTACCCTCTCAATTTTTTGTTGATTTATACTCTTCACCTCATCCTATCCTGTCATCTTTCTTTTTGTCTCCTACTATTCAACCCTCTCCTCTTCTCTGTGGAATTAGAGTTGTATGACAATTTCACAGCTTCCACATCTCTATCACTCTTACATTGTATGTGAGTGTCTGTGTTATCTGCTGTGTTGCCTTCCTGGACTTGTCATTCTTTAATGTTGAAGCAGCTGTGGACGGGTATCAGACGAAAGAAAGCCTCGAGGGAAATGTCTTTATTTCATACTTCATCATTTTGAAACTATAACCTGATGCCTGTATGGAAGTGAACGGTCTCCATTTGAAACTCTTTTTTAAAGGTTAAGCATTCACATGGTCTCCTCACATGGTTGTCGGAACATAATTGAAGAGTCGATGAGTTTGTCTTGTGGAAAAACAAGTACTGTCGAGCCTATCATATGTTTATTTTTCTATTGTGGGCTTTTGAGCGGTATAACGACTATGACCACTTGCGCGTTGCACCAAAATGTGCAGCAATTCCCCACACCAAGGCCAACCTACTACTACCAGAACCAAAAATCTTCCCGGGGGGCATGCTCCCCCGGGAAGATTTTTTTATTTTAAATGTTGAAGTTAAAAGCATCAATCTGGTGCACTTTGAGAGCAACATTAAGAGATCTATGGATACATCTCTCAACGCCCATATGAATCTTTATGGATATTTTACAAATCACTCTCCTTTCAAACTGTATTCTTGTTTATTAATAACAACTTTTTTTTTACTGTCATATAGTATTTTATACCTGTTTACTTTATTCTCTTATTTTTTTTATAATGATCATATAAAGATGTGCCTTTACCTCACTGGTTGGAGAAAAAGCTTCTTATATTCGTTAGCATAGCAAGCTAACCAGATGCTAATAACAGCAAAGTTATTGACTGTATGATCAGTATGACGGATGAACAGATCGCCACTGGGCTTTCAACTAAAGACACAGCCACACAAAAAACTGCGGCATATGTACGGCTCCTTATGGGTACTGACACAGCTGACACAGAAAGCGACGCAGGTTCTGGTCCAGGCTCTCGTCATCTCACGCCTAGACTACTGCAACTCCCTCCTGGCTGGTCTACCTGCATGTGCCATCCGACCTCTGCAGCTCACCCAGAATGCAGCGGCTCGTCTGGTCTTCAATCTTCCTAAATTCTCCCACACCACTCCGCTCCTCCGCTCCCTTCACTGGCTTCCGGTAACTGCTAGAATCCACTTCAAGACACTGGTACTTGCTTACCATGCTGCGAATGGATCTGGCCCTTCCTACATCCAGGACATGGTTAAACCGTACACCCCAGCGCGTGCACTACGCTCTGCATCAGTCAAACGACTCGCTGCGCCCTCGCTGCGAGGGGGACCCAAGTTCCCATCGGCAAAAACACGTGGGTTTGCTGGCTCCAAGATGGTGGAATGAGCTCCCCATTGACATCAGGACGGCAGATAGCTTGCACATCTTCCGGCGCAGACTGAAAACTCATCTCTTTCGACTCCACTTCGAGCGTTAGAACTATTAACAAAGCACTTTTATACTAATAAAGGACTGGCTTACCTAAAGCCAGTTGAGTAGCACTTGAAATGTTTTTGCTCTATGAAGCCTGATGTACTTATATGATTCTGTTTTCTTCAAGGTTGTGTCTTCCTGGTCGAATGTACTTATTGTAAGTCGCTTTGGATAAAAGCGTCAGCTAAATGCAATGTAATGTAATGTACTGACATTTGTGAAGTCCCGGCCCGGAGCGACGTCCTGGTGCTCGCCGGCAGCTCTAAACCCCTGTCGGACGAGAGATATACCACGTGATGACACGTTAGGCTCGTGTTGTATTCAAGGACCCTGACCTTGGCCAGGAAAAACAGGCACTCGCTTGTTTAATTCTTTTGCGGTCTAGATTTCTTAATTTGTTTTCTTTTTTGCGTGAGTTACCTCGAGGGCCGTATCAAATTGTCTCGCGGGCCGTATACGGCCCGGGGGCCGGAGGTTCCCCACCCCTGCTTTAACCCTTCTCTTGCGTTAGGTTAGACCCCCCTTCCCATGCTATTTTTGGTCAATATTGACCGGTGTGTTTTGCACAGTGATATCTATGGAACCCCTTATCCAATTTTGATGGTTGACATCTCATTTGAACAGTCCAAGCAAGTAGAATCAAGGGATGACAGACAGAATGACACCAGGGGTGAATTTCATATTATTTTTGGCAGTAAGTTCAAAGATAGTGCTTATTTTACATTACTGTATATTATAAAAATGCTTGCCATGTAGGCTGTGTTTACTGGAGATGGAAATGCTTTAGTTAGTGTTGTAGCTGAGATTCTTCCCGTTCCATTGATGTATGTATTGATTTGATACAAGCAAGCCAGTGTTTCATGTCATGGTCCGGACCCACCGGTGGGCCCATCAAGTTCAGCATTCACTGTGATGAATATAAAATAAGACACTGATACTGTTTTCCTCAATGAACATTTATTGAAAGAGAAATATACCATAACAGAACATGTGTGTGCGTGTGTTCATAGTTGAACATAGTTGGCAATGCAAAATGGTGGAATGTCACCTTAGGCTCCTCTCCCTCAGGGGCCTCTATCTCAGGGGCCTCTATCTCAGGGGCCTCTATCTCAGGGGCCTCTCCCTCCTCTCCCTCAGGTGCCTCTTCCTGGTCTGTTGTAGGCTCATAGTCTGGATCGCTGTTGTCTTCCATTTCTGAGACATCTTCCTCTATCTCCTCTTCATCTGGTTCAATCTCCTCTTCATCTGGTTCAACAATGTGTCCAGAGCCCCTCGTACAGAAAATTGCCTAATCGGTTGCCTGCTCATTGTGTCAATGAGTCAAATGTGAGCAAGGCACAAATATAACTGCTTGAGAGCCAGTAAGGGAGGCGCATTTAGCGCGAGAAAGTGAGACGTTTGTGTTTCTCGAGGGGCACAGAGCTCTCACCTGTGAGAAGGTGTGATACATTGTATCATACAGTGCGAGAAAGGGAGAGGTTCCTGTAACGTGTGTGTGTGTGTGTGTGTGTGTGTGTAGATGTTTTCCATCTGCAGGATGAACATAATACACTCATACCCATTCATTTTCTATGGCGGTCAATTCTGACCAAAAACATCATGGGTGTTTCACTGTTGAATAAATCACTCAAAATTCAATGCAAGTGGTGATCATCAAGTGTATATGTTCAGAGGCTTAGTGTGGAGGATAACATAAGGTATTGGGGCAATTGGATGAAAAACACAATATTTATGATTAAAACAAAAGTCATTCGGTCACTTTTGACCCGAAACGCAAGAGAAGGGTTAAACTGTTGTACGGGCTGATGGCACTGCGGCCACATTGCAAAGATAAATGCGGGAACTCTCTCACACTCCCCTTTGCTTTTGACTTCCTCAGGAGGAACCTCACCAAGCTGTCGTTGATCTTCAGCCACATGCTGGCGGAGCTGAAGGCCATCTTCCCCAATGGTCTGTTCCAGGGTGACAACTTCCGCATCACCAAGGCCGATGCCGCAGAGTTCTGGAGGCACGCCTTCGGGGACAAGTGAGACAAACTCTATATATCTTTTCAGACATTGAATATAAATATTACCCGAACTGGCATCCTGGAACAATATGGGATTCCTCAAGAAAATACGAATTAAAAACAACTAATCACTACATTGAAATAATATTGAAGAGGCATCTGATAGCAATAGTTTCAGCGTCAGTAACAAGTATCTTCTTTAGAAAACCTATTGGGTTATTGAATACAGAACTCTTTCGACTAAAGTGTGTCTTTCTGACAGGTCCTTGAAATGTAATCAGACACCCATGTTCTATACAATCACAGATATTTAACCTAATTAGTCAAGTTAATTGAGAAAATTGGTTTTATGCAAATGTGTCCTACAAAAGGAATCCAGCCATGTGAAACAACAACACTTTTAAATCTGGGTTTTCCCAATACTACATTTTTTTTTTTTTATTTGATGTCAAGATCTGCCAGTTTTTCCTTTTGGAGCATTAGTTAGCCACATTGCTGACAAGTAGCATGAAATGGCTAGTTTTTTATCGTCCGATACCATATCCCCCACTGCATCTTTAAAGCCGAGCATGCTTCAGCACAAGACGTCTGTATTGTTGTCAGGATAAAAGACATTACGTTGTTTAAAGGGGATTTCGTCATGGTTTTCTTTTTGTGTGTTACAGGACCATTGTGCCTTGGAAGATATTTCGTCAGTCTCTCCATGAGTTTCATTCTATCAGCTCAGGACTGGAGGCCATGGCCCTCAAGTCCACCATCGACCTCGCCTGCAACGACTACATCTCTGTCTTTGAGTTTGACATCTTCACAAGGCTATTCCAGGTATTGAACACACACACACACACACACACACACACACTTGGCACTGATGTATTTGTCATAGTTACTGTCTGAGATGATGAAAGAGAAATATGTGCTATGAAAGAGGGTGATTGAGAAGACGGAGAGTAATTAATAGCATAGTCTATAAGCCGTTGTCATGGAAACTAATATCATATGAGAAGCGCATAATGAACTCAAACATATTTGTCACTTTTTGGATTACTCTATCAACTTGTTAGCAGGATGACTGCTGACTTGTTCACGCTGTCTGGTGGGACGGAAGTTCTTGCATCGTCTCTGCTCGCACATTACAGATGCAAAATGTTTGGCAATTATTTGGTCCTCTCTTTGTGATGGCTGTTGTCACTTAAAAAGGCACAGGCAGGTCTAGGGTTTCCAGGTGGTGATAACACTAAGGAGCATCCTCAAGGACAGTCATTATGTGTCATGTTATCATTATAAGATATCCTTTTCTTAGTGTCAGGTGAATAATTAATAGCAAGGTTGACCATTTGTGGTATAATTCCCAAACAACATTGGCACTCTAGAGCGTCACAGATTATCTCCTACAGTTTTACTTTGCCTAAACCTGATACAATGTTGTAGTTAAAGGACCAAACTACTCCCATACACACATAGAATTGGGCATCATTGTGAAATGTAGGGCTGTAAAAAGGGTTAGGGGAAATGGAGGGGGGAGGATGGCTATATTAGCATTATCTCCAGAGCTTATCTATTATATTTAGTGCAAGTGTTTTATAACAGAATTATAATAAACACTTCTATGGGAAACATTGATGTTGTATACCATATCATCTGTAAACCACTGTTAACTTGCTGTGTTTTAATTTGTATTATCTAAAGCATCTTGCGTCATATCTGGCTTGCAGTAGTGTGTGTTGCTCATTCCCCTCAGTGATATTATCCCAGGCTAAATGTGTGCACAGCACTGATCGGCTTAATGAAGCCTAAACAGATTACAGACATTTCCTATGACCCTCCCTCAAACAGAAAAAAAAACCTCCTCTAAATGTCCTCAAATACAGAATAGGAAGTGAGCCTGTGGCCATTTTGAGCTCTGTCCTTGATATGCAGTACACTGGAGATGAAATGATGCTTTTTTTAAATATTGCTATCGGCCCCTTCAAATGTTTCATACAGTATCTTTAGGCTCAATGATCTGGGGGTATTATCAACAGCTCTCATGTAGTGTGAACAGATCATCTAAAAATAATGTCCAAATAAGAGGCGACTGAAAAAGAATTGTGCAGCTACATTACGTAGTCACATAAAGTCAGTTAGTCAGAAGCACCCTGCTGTTTAGTAAACCCTGATACTTGTCTGCAATTACACTAAAAAGAGAGATAAGATACAAAATGTTAAACTTGAGTCCATCAAAGGAGTCAGTTTTGATTTGTTACTTCCTTTGGGCAAAAAGTATAAATAACCAGATTAAATGTGTGCAAATATGTTGGAAGTGCACGGGGAACAGAATAGTCCCTCTTTGTGATTAGCTTGTACCGTGCCCTTGCAATTCTTTTTGTAGGTGGTGTATGTGTAATTCTACTTCCTTTCACACCAGACTAACTGTGAAAACATCTTCTCACGACCACACTCTATGGAGTTGTATGAATTATTTGACTATTTTTGCTTCAAGCCTCGTTATCTTGGTGGTTTTTAAAGAAAGAAAAAAAGTGTTCTGCTTTACATACATTATGGGAAGCAGCCTGCGTATTTCCCTTTAATCTTCCTCATTATGTGGCTCCAGATGGTACCAAGTTAGCTGCATGCTGTTTAAAGTGCTCCAAATTCAGCTTTAAGTAGCATTTTACTCTGCTTGACCCAGGTAGTTTCCAGTGTCATCCGTAACGCAGTTTATCTCCATTACTCTGCTCATGTTGTTATTGCTGTGTCGATTCACTCACGTATCAACTGAGTGAGTACCCTCTCTTTCTCCTGTGTGTGTGTGTGTGTGTGTGTGTGTAGCCTTGGTCGTCCCTGCTGCGGAACTGGAACAGCTTGGCAGTTACTCACCCCGGCTACATGGCCTTCCTCACATACGATGAGGTCAAAGCGCGGCTGCAGAAGTTTATCCACAAGCATGGCAGGTGAGATATCAAGAGACATGTGAATGCACACACAGACACATCCTGTCACACCATCTAAATAAAGATGTGGTGTCATTTAGTGCTTATTGGTGTGTGGTGTCCTCCCATTTACTTTAAATATATAGTTTAAGGTCCATTATCAACTTCTATCAGCACACTGTGAGCTGTGTTTGCATGTCATGTAACCACGTTCATGTGATTATAGCGGCAACAGCTTGGTTGTGGTATACCGAATCTCCAATGTCCTACATTTGTCCCTGCTGAAGAGACATGTTCCGCATGTGTTAGTGTGTGGGGGTGTATACCGTACACAGCCTAATACATCATCAGTTTTACCTAAGGCAATAATGCTATCATACACACATGCAACTTATCATGGTTTAGGCTTTGTAGATAAGGCACAAGTTCATCGTGTGTGTGTGTGTGTGTGTGTGTGTGTGTGTGTGTGTGTGTGTGTGTGTGTGTGTGTGTGTGTGTGTGTGTGTGTGTGTGTGTGTGTGTGTGTGTGTGTGTGTGTGTGTGTGTGTGTGGTGTGTGTGTGTGTGTGTGTGTGTGTGTGTGTGTGTGTGTTGTGTGTGTGTGTGTGTGTGTGGGTGTGTGTGTTGTGTGTGTGTGTGTGTGTGTGTGTGTGTGTGTGTGTGTGTGTGTGTGTGTGTGTGTGTGTGTGTGTGTGTGTGTGTGTGTGTGTGTGTGTGTGTGTGTGTGTGTGTGTGTGTGTGTGTGTGTGTGTGTGTGTGTGGCATTTTGAAACTCATAATTACAGCCTTCTGTTTGTATTATGGGTAAAGCACTTGGTCCACATCCAAACTAAACGTAGAGACTATCAACAACACTACTTTCTCCATTTGTGCACTTAGTGTGTTGATGTTCGGATCAGGGGGTCACAGGTTCAAACCCCACTGCAGTCAGAATGTCGTTGTGTCCCTGGGCAAGACACTTGTAACATGTAATTAAATGAACTGGCCTTTTCTTAAAGGTGTTTAAAAACTCCAGATTTTTTTTATTTGGTCATTTCCTGATACAACATTCTCAACTTAAAAACAAGGACATAAAACATGTTGAGCACAGGGAAGAGTGGCTGCATGTCTTTCCAGACTGATGCCGCCTCTTGAAGCCACAGCTCCAAATGGTTTTTGGTGGTTAAAAAACACCACAGGGAACATTTTAAGCAGCATAATTATAAAACGCAGACATCACACCGTGTCTTTGTTTGATGATAAATAATAGGCAAAGACCCTCAAAACCCACCACTGCTCATCCAATTAAAAGATAAATACATGTCTGTGGGTGCCCTCTCTCCATATGATTCTGCCAATACAATAAATCCAGGTTACAAATGATTATTTTATTTAAATGTTTTTTCCGATTCAAACCATATTAGTCTTATTGATATGATTTCTCATCTTTTTAACTTTTTTGTTTGTTTGTTGTTCAGTCTGAACAAACATTTGACATTCCCATGCATTATTCAGCTTGCATATTTGCTCTTTTACCTACTTTATCTCACTCAAATGTACAGGCATACTTGAAACTTGTTTCTAAGTGAACTCGATGTACACCCTCCTGCGGGGACTGAATTCAATGATCTGTACATTTTACATAATTGTTTACATTGGAACTAAGCTGAAAACCAATGAGCACAATATGTGGCAGTAATACAGTATCTCTATTTGATTGCCCTTTGTCTGTGAAACAAATATCGACAACACTTTAGCATGTCTTCTTTCTCATGTCTTCCGTCTCATTTCTGATGTTTCCTCCTCAGTTACATATTCCGACTGAGCTGCACCCGGCTGGGCCAGTGGGCCATCGGTTATGTGACCGCAGATGGAAACATACTCCAGACCATTCCCCACAATAAACCGCTCTTCCAGGCCCTGATAGACGGCTTCAGGGAAGGATTGTAAGTCCATCTGCTATTTGTTTGACACACTCATATCAGCAATTGTTCTGATCATTGTCACCCTTAACTCTGCTCTCTGTAACTGGGTCTTTTTTTTGTTTTAATAAATGATCTATAAGTTAAGCTTCCTGTCATATGCAGAACTTCTCTTTTTTCTACCATGTCTCTTTTTCTTTCTTCTTCTCTTCCCACAAAGCATGCATCTCTGTTTAAAGTATGTGTTTATGCTTTCCCCGCCACAATGATTCTGCCTTTCAGCTCTCAAACAATCCAGCCATATCATATTGCCTGTTCCCATCTTTGCAGCGTTATCATAACCAGAACTGAACTGTTGGTCATGAAATGCATCTTTTCATGACAGTGCTGATTATTTTTGTTTAATGAAAGCTATGGTTGGCTTGCTCACACCTGTAATCAATACAGTATATCGCCTGCATCTACAAACATTTATCAAATAGTAATTATACCATCTGGCCCATTTATAAAATAGTCACGTACTCTACATGCATCATCCTCTCTGTGCTGATATTAAAATGCCCAGTGAACGACTGAACAGATGTTTTCATGCAGCAGCCTGTTGGATATACATGAAGTATAATCATATTGACTAATTATGGGGCTGACTTTTAAATAAAAATGCCTTGAAATACCCAAGGCTACTGTGCTTAACTTCTCATTTTGTTATTCCCCAGCTATTTATTCCCAGATGGTCGGACCCAAAACCCAGATCTGACAGGACTGTGTGAGCCTTCACCTCAAGACCACATCAAAGTCACACAGGTCAGAGCAGCGTGCTTCTGGATCTTCTTCTTTAAAGTCTTACGGCCCGTCCACACGGCGGCGTGCGTTGAAGCTTCAACGCTTCTGCCCATTCACTTTGAATGGGGTGACGTCACGCTTTGCCGAACTGCATTGTGGTTCCGTCGCTTCGCTTTGCTCGCGTTGCTCACTTCAAAAGTAGAGCAATGTTCTACTTTTGAAGCGTCAGCCAATCAAATCATAGGCCAGTACAAGCTCTAGCCAATCAAACCGCGTGCTTGTGTGTCCAGGGCGGGAGATTCATGTGATTGGTTGTTGGTCGAGTTTCAGACACGCCCACCAGCAAGCTTCAACGCACGCCGCCGTGTGGACGCTGCGTCATACATTCTCACTGACCTTTGGCATTTACGGACAAATAGCTTAGATACACATAAAGATCTTGGTTGAAAAAAATATATTGATGTTACCGTCTAGTGCATGACCAAAAGGAAGCAGAAGTAAAAGTCATGACAAAAAACACCGCACAGGAACTAAGTTAGTCATGGGTGAGTATAGCTGACTCCTTTTAACATATAGCCATTTTTGTATGTCTGACATCTATATTTAAGAAATAATATACTATGTATTAAAAATAGGTTCTTCACTGTGACGAAAAGCCACAGCTCATTTAAATGAGGTAAAGGTTGCAGAAGCCTAAATCATTCACATAGACAATTATGATATATTAAAATACCAACATTTAAACTTTATATTTTGGCTTTCATTTGAAGTCATCTTCTTTAATGTCATCTTATTTCAACAGTGTTTCCAAAGTCATACACTGATTGAACATTGCATGAGCTACATTTTCATACATAAAAAGAAATATTGCTGCATTTAAGAATGTTTTTTATAGTTCAAGCTTTTGTACTGTTGTCAACGCGAGCTTCCTCTTGTTAAGAAGAATAGTAAACCCCATCTGTCTTTCAAAATGTAGCACTGTCATCACATTGAAGCACGCATCATGTTTACTGCACAAGATTCAACTGTAAATTGTGAAATATCTTTAAACAACCCTTGGGCTTTCATGTCTTCTCAAGGGTTTGAAAACTTGTTTATGAACAGAACCCTTTTGCTTGAGCACAGGACTGAAACTAAAAATACGCCCCCACATTTTTTAACTTGGCTCCAGATCCTTCCGGGCTCTTTCGAAATGATCTCAGATGGTGTTAGTATCGTATGATGTTACTGTGTTTTGGCACCGAAAACTCATAGTTGTCTCATTTTTCCCCTTAGGAGCAATATGAGCTGTACTGTGAGATGGGCTCTACGTTCCAGCTGTGTAAGATCTGTGCCGAGAACGACAAGGATGTGAAGATCGAGCCCTGCGGTCATCTCATGTGCACCTCCTGTCTCACCGCCTGGCAGGTAAGAGTGGGTGGACAGGTCTGTGTGGGTGTTTCGCTTCAAGTGAAGTGTCACACCTCATACCTGTTGAGAGGAACACTCACCAAGTGTTTTTCTCGGCAAACGTGGCGGACATATAAAAACACATAACCCCCTTTCATCTCTGTGTCCCATAACATCTGCCTTTGTGCTTTTGTTACAGGAGTCGGAGGGTCAGGGAACAGGATGTCCCTTTTGTCGCTGTGAGATTAAAGGTACGGAGCCCATTGTTGTGGATCCTTTTGACCCCAAGGACAACAGCGGGGGCTCCTGCAGGGGCATGTTCGGGGCTGAGGGGGCTCCGTCACCCAGCTATGACGAGGATGACGACGACAGACTTGAAGACCCCCACCTCATGATGAGCAAACTCGCCTGTTCAAAGGTAATACTGTGGGAAGACCTTAACTTTATTAAGAAAAAAAGTTATATCAGTTTCCCTCAAGTTTCCAGTCATGGCACCTCAAGAGTTGATCAAATGTTGCGTTGGTTTGATGCCCTCAGCGCGCCTCCTGGGTTTCTTCTGTCTTCGTATCTTATCTGTCTTTGAGAGACCCATCTCTCTACAGATGAAATACTCCCTGCCTCGCCCTTTTCATATTTTCTGAGATTCAGGATCACTCCTCATATCTCAGGTCTTTCATCTCCATCTTTCATGGTGCCAAGGTAGTAACTTTTTTGTGCCTCAGTGTTTGATATGTTGGGCATTTTTCTTTTCTTTTGTTAAACTCTGTGTGCTGCATATAGATCAGGCGAATACCTGAGCTCACACACACTTTGAAGTGGTCCCTGGAATTTCTATGGCATTCATTGCTTCCCCGGTCTCTTTCTTATCTTTGACCATTTCTTTAAATATACTTGTACACTTTGAAGTACATGGCTGTACTTCATAAATATGTTGTATTGATTTGTGTTTGTTATTTTTAAAACAAGCAAACGTAGATTTGTTCTTTCCTTTTTGATGAACAAAGAAATCTACGCCATTGAACTGTGCAGTCAAATGTTATGGCACATGGAACTATTGTTGTTGCATGATCAGGACTTAGGTTTCCCGACATAATCATAACATTTTAAGCCATGCAGCTCAAAACAAAGATTTTAAACGTTGGATGTGGCCATTTGAGGAGAAGAAAATGAGCACTGTTGTGCAAAATGTTCTTCTTTATTCATTCAAAGCACTGCCTTTCCCCCACACTCTCTAACCTAAGTTTGATTGGAACCAATAGTCATGAATTCGTATTCCTCAAACCCGCCATTAGACAACCCTCGGTCTGTTGAAATGTAGCTGATCAGATGTGATGGGTGTTGTGCTGTTGATCCAGGTGGAGCGCCCCCCGTCACCCATGTCCATGGCTCCTCAGTCCTCTCTGCCCCCCGTGCCGCCCAGACTAGACCTCATACCACACAGACCTCCCAACCCGCCGGGGGCCTCCAGCCCCGGGGTCACCAGTAAGGTAACTGAACATACACAAGCAAGAGAACGCCTCATTTGGGCAAGAGGGGATGTTCAAATCAAAGTGTAGTTAAAGCATTAGTTATTTCACAGTCACAAAGCATTTTCAATATTGGGTTGGATTGTCCAGTTTTTGTCTCAAGGGGGGTAGGGGGCCTTCAGGTCAACAGGAAAGAGTGCTGTCATAGAAGAATGTTGTTTTTTGTTTTGATGTCATTTGCACATAATGTTAATGCAAGCACTATCACTTTCCATCGTTGTTGTAACATATAAGCCATTTCAAAGTCACCCTAACATTAGCTTATAGTCCCCAAACTAATAATATTCTGCTTTACAGCTGGTAGCTTGTTTTTCAAATGATGCGTACCTTTGTTTCTCCCTTCACTGAAGTAGTGTTGAAATGGCAGCCACACTAATCACTGTATTTTATATCCTGCATATGAGACATCTGGGAGTGCATTTCTACTCACTCACATATTCATATTACCCCATTTGATCACATTTCTGCTTAAATGTAGATCAATGGAAACTGTAGATGGGAAGCTGGGATTGTGTGCAGATGATGAACAACACTGTGCTTTCTGTTGTTATGTATATTGTCGATTTAAGATGATGAATGCACACACAGTGCTTTTGCTGCTAAATGGATTATTTCCAGTGGAGCAGATAGCAGTACTGTGTTTTCATTGTTTCACATCAATATTGTGTGTACTCTAAAAGACCCCCCCCCTTCTCTGTTCCTCCCCTCCAGGCAGCATCTCACCACAAAGACAAGCCTCTTCCCCTGCCCCCAGCACTGAGGGATCTCCCCCCTCCCCCCCCTCCGGACCGCCCCCACGCAGCCGGGGCGGCCCCCGATGGACGGCTGCAGAGGCGGCCCTTGCCCTGCACTCCTGGGGACCCCCCTAGAGATAAGCTCCCGCCCACACCCCCAAGCCGGCCCCTGGGGGACTGGAACTCCCGGCCTGTTCCCAAGGCCCCCAGTTCCTCCTCTTCCTCCTCCTCGTCCTCCTCCTCCTCCTCCTCTTCCTCATCCAGCCAGGTGTCCAGTCTGGGAGTGGACATTCGAGCGGGCGTCAGGGAACTCTCCAACCGACACTCCCTCCCCTTGGCGCTGCCCTCCGCTCTGGACCCCCGCTCAGAGTCGCAGAAGAACAACAGCTCCCTCAGTCTGGACCACCAGCTGGTCAGAGAAACCACAGAACACCACAGAACACTACAGAACACTACAGAACACCACAGCACACCACAGAACACCACAGCACACCACAGAACACCACAGAACACTACAGAACACTACAGAACACCACAGAACACCACAGAACACCACAGAACACCACAGAACACCACAGAACACCACAGAACACTACAGAACACCACAGAACACTACAGAACACTACAGCACACCACAGAACACCACAGAACACCACAGAACACCACAGAACACTACAGAACACTACAGAACACTACAGAACACCACAGAACACCACAGAACACTACAGAACACCACAGAACACTACAGAACACTACAGCACACCACAGAACACCACAGAACACCACAGAACACCACAGAACACTACAGAACACCACAGAACACTACAGAACACTACAGCACACCACAGAACACCACAGAACACCACAGAACACCACAGAACACTACAGAACACCACAGAACACCACAGAACACCACAGAACACTACAGAACACTACAGAACACTACAGAACACCACAGAACATAGAACACCACAGCACACCACACTACAGAACACTACAGAACACTACAGCACACCACAGAACACCACAGAACACCACAGAACACCACAGAACACCACAGAACACTACAGAACACTACAGAACACCACAGAACACTACAGAACACCACAGAACACTACAGAACACTACAGAACACCACAGCACACCACACTACAGAACACTACAGAACACTACAGAACACTACAGAACACCACAGCACACCACACTACAGAACACTACAGAACACTACAGAACACTACAGAACACCACAGAACACCACAGAACACCACAAACACCACAGAACCCACAGAACCCACAGAACAGAACCCACAGAACCCACAGAACCCACAGAACCCACAGAACACCACAGAACACCACAGAACACTACAGAACACCACAGAACACCACAGAACACCACAGAACACTACAGAACACCACAGAACACCACAGAACACCACAGAACACCACAGAACACCACAGAACACTACAGAACACCACAGAACACCACAGAACACCACAGAACACCACAGAACACTACAGAACACCACAGAACACCACAGAACACCACAGCACACCACAGCACACCACAGAACACTACAGAACACCACAGAACACCACAGAACACCACAGAACACCACAGAACACCACAGAACACCACAGAACACCACAGAACACTACAGAACACACAGAACACCACAGAACACCACAGAACACCACATACACACACATCACCACAGACACCAACACCACGAACACCACGAACACCACGTAACACTACAGAACACTACAGAACACTACAGAACACCACAGAACACTACAGAACACTACAGAACACCACAGAACACCACAGAACACTACAGAACACCACAGAACACTACAGAACACCACAGAACACCACAGAACACTACAGAACACTACAGAACACTACAGAACACTACAGAACACCACAGAACACTACAGAACACTACAGAACACCACAGAACACCACAGCACACCACAGCACACCACAGAACACCACAGAACACCACCGAACACCACAGAACACCACAGAACACCACAGAACACCACAGAACACCCACAGAACCCCACAGAACACCACAGAACACCACAGAACACTACAGAACACCACAGAACACCACAGAACACCACAGAACACCACAGAACACCACAGAACACCACAGAACACCACAGAACACTACAGAACACACTAAATGATTGTATCTATTCCTTAAATGTAATCATTGTTTGATTTAAAGATTTTGATAATGAAAATGCTCCTCTCCTTAAAATGTCTGACATTTCAGCTTCTGCTTCCTTTACAGAGTTTTGTGGCTCCAGCCGGTCCAGATTACGACGGCCCCAAAGTGAAGCCCTCGGCCTCAGCCAACGCCATCTATTCCCTGGCAATCAGGTAGGATTTACTGGCACTATGAGGACGGATGAGTCAAGCATTTCAACTTTGACTGACACCATTTTTTTCTTAATGCTTGTTGTTTCTTCCACAAACGTTTAGCCTTTTACTGTCTATAGTTCACACATCCATGAATACAGCTTTAGTTTAAATATGTGTTCTTGTTTGTTTCCAGACCCTCTCCAGCCCAGAGGCCAGTGGCAGGAGAGGAGGCCCGTGACAGTGAGGAAGAGTCGGAGTACATGATCCCCTCTTCTCGCCCCGTCCTGCCCCCCGTTACTGCTCCTCCTGTAGGGGAGCTCCCCCCCGTCCCCAGGCCTTCACAGCCTCCATCAGCACTCCAGACACAAGCCTCTGCACTCACCTCACGGTACTCAAAACACTCAATAAATCCACCTATAGCACATCTGTACTACTTTGATAAGTGCAGTTTGTTATGGTTGTTGTTTCATTATTGTTGTTTGTTGTTGTAGGCTGCCAATGGCTGGAGTGGAGGATGGACCTCAAATGTATGAAGCTATGTACGACATCCAGGCCAGGGCCCAGCAAGCCAGAGATTCAGGTATTTAGATTTCCTCAGTCAAATCAGTTTAGAGGCAGAATGTGTCACTTTTTAAACCTATATGCTTCCGACACACAGTCTTTCTGTTTACACATTTTATCTCTGCTTTTTGAACCCCTGGTTGTACAACAGTCACTCAAACCAATCAACCTGAATTTGTGAATATTAGTTTCACTCCAAAACAAGACCCCCACCATGTGAGAAAACAGGGTGTCCGCGGGGTCTTAAAAAGTATTAACAGTTGATAAATCAATTTATCGAAAATTAAAGCTATTAAATGGCATTACATTTTGTAGCTTGTTTTCAATAAGTATATAAATTGTCCAAAGAGGTTGTATTCTACAGTGTGCCTGAATGTAATCATTGCGTAGGTGTGTAGTGTGATTCTGTGTAGTTTATTTATGACATCCCGTTGGATTTGATGTCATCTGAACAGGACATCGCGCGCTATCGAGCAGTGAGCGCGCAAAGTCCTGTTCAGGGTTCTGTCAGGTCAGTTTACGCCGGTTGTTAAACAACATCGTTATGGGGAAATGCAAGTTTGCGTCCAAATGGTTGAAAGATAAGGAGGAAGGACAATCAATACTGTATATAGTCAATGTGAGGTAAAGTGTGTCGCCAATGTAACTCTAATTAAAACTCGAAGTGGCGATGAGGTCTTAAAATGTATTACATCTGACTTCAGGATTCCTGCATATACCCTGGAAAGTACACATAAATACTCATAGTCGTGACTCATCTCAGTCTATTTTAGTGAATACATCAGCCTGTGTAAATGAGTAGTCCCAAGAATATGCTAAATGTAATTAGTCAGATACGTAAGTGTTAACAAATGTCTTTCCCCCGCCCCAGACTACTCAGAGCTGCCCCCTCTGGCGCTGTCCAACGGTCCCAGAGAGCAAGCTGCGGAGGACAGGGAGGAGGAGGAGGAGGAAGAGGAGGAGGAGGAGGAGGAGAACGGGTACGACTTCCCTAAACCGCGGCTACCGATGCCCACGACCCGACGGACCCTTTCAGAAATCGGAGCGTCGTCTTCCTCCTCTTCATCTTCCTCATCATGCTCATCCTCCACAGCAGCCTTCAGCCGTCTTTCTCTTGATTCGGATGCTGGAGCTGCAGCACGTAAGGATACTTGCCCCATGCACATGATCCAGAGCTAGTTTGTAATGCATGTATAACTGTACAAATTATTTTAAAGACAATTTGAGAAAGAAGGCGCTGTACAGTAGCATATCATAATCAAAGGCTACTGGTGACCGCTAAATAGAGGATTCTGAGTAAATAGTTGGAAACCATTAGGTCACTTTTTGTGATTTGGATGAACTGACCCTTTTAAAATATGTGCTTTTATTAGATGTGACACTAAAAAGTTAAATTATTTTACATTAGTGGTGGCTTAAGGCAACTGGTTTGTTTCATAAAATGCATTGGATGTAAAAAAGATATAAAAGCAGCTTCTTTGTGCAGGTCCTTACTAAAATAGCTGATTAATCAATATCTTGGATTATCACAAAAGCCCTCTGACTGGGAGAGCAGCATGAAAAGTCCACTAAGAGGTTTTTCTGCTACCTGATGAAGGCCAGACATTATACTGATTTTCAGGAAGCTCTCTGAAGTTAATATTAGACTTGGATCAATTACAATGAATTGATTGACATAACTAATTTGCGCAGTATGTGCAATCACTATGTGCAAAGGGTAGAGAAGAATAATTATAGAGAGCTACTCGGTAAGCTCAGTGACCTTAAAACCAGAACAGTAAGTGTTTCCTCCAGGACTTAAGAGAAACCTGCCGTTGGACTGACCAGTGACCGGTCTGTGGACGTTTCACTGCAACACATTATGTAGAAGAAAGTAGGAAAGCATTTCTATGAGTAATATTCATCTCTCTGCAGTGAGCTGACATTCTCTACCTACACAGTGTGATGATTGCCGGCTGTCTGTGTCCCACTAAAGACTTGAACCTTTATATCTGAGGACCAATTAAGTGTCTCTCAGACAAGCTGACAAGCTCTCGGGTTATAATTGGTCTCTCTATGGGAGCTTTATTATAGGTTGCTGCAGATTAAAGGTCAACCAGTTCACCGTATATACAGTATCATTAAAAAAAACTCATAGCTTACTGCAGACAAGCACTCAGGGGGCTGTTTGCCACTGGTGCTTTATTTTGGTAATCAGGATGTATTTGAAATGAGTTGGAGATGGTTTCCAGTCAAATGTCAATATAGGTCATTGAACATTAAGATTTACTTTAAGAGTATTTCAAAGGAGTTTATATTATTTCAGGTTTAGATGGATAGATAGATAGATGGATGGATGGATAGATGGACGGATGGACGGATGGATAGATAGATAGATGGATGGACGGATAGATGGACGGATAGATGGATGGACGGATAGATAGATAGATGGATAGATGGACGGATAGATGGATGGACGGATGGATAGATGGATGGATAGATGGACGGATAGATGGATGGACAGATGGATAGATAGATAGATAGATGGATAGATGGACGGATAGATGGATGGATGGATGGATAGATGGACGGATAGATGGATGGACGGATGGATAGATAGATAGATGGATGGACGGATAGATGGATGGATAGATAGATAGATGGATGGACGGATAGATGGACGGATAGATAGATGGATGGACGGATGGATAGATGGACGGATAGATGGATGGACGGATGGATAGATAGATAGATAGATAGATAGATAGATGGATGGACGGATAGATGGACGGATAGATGGATGGACGGATACAAAAATAAAAAATATTCTATCAAATATAAACAAAAGAATATAAAATATTCTGGATAATTCAAGTAAAAAGTCAAAAATACTACAGGATCCAAAATACTACAGGTATATCACAACCTTCAAGGCTTTCCAAAGCTTTAAAGGCATATAAATCCCCTCTCTTCTTCTCTCCAGCCCTCTCCGAGCCGGTGGAAGCCCCAGAGAGACCTCCCAAGCCCCTGCCCCGACGAATCAACTCTGAGCACCGGCCCAGCCCTGTCCCGCCCGTCCCTGCCCCCCCCAGCGGTGGGGCAGCAGGGGGAGAAGCCAACCCTCAGATCAGCATCGAGATCGAGCTCCTCGCGAGTCAGGGGTACTCTCAACAGGACATCCAGAAAGCACTGATGATTGCACAGAACAATATCGAAATGGCTAGGAACATCCTACGCGAGTTCGTCTCTATTCCCTCCACCGCGAATATTCTTACATAGCACGCTTTGTGCCTCTCTCTCTTTCTCGTGTCTTGCTCTCTCGCCCTAGCTTGGCACAGCCTGGTTGGGTAAAGGTTGCCTGCAGCACTACCTCTGTGCTGACGCCCGACATCCCTGTGGGTTTTTAACTGGCTGTTACTCCAGAGCGCCCTGCACTCCATGCGCTTTCAACAGTGTCCGGCCTTCTCTAAACCGCTACTGCAGGCCTCTTCATTTCCCACGAGACATCTACGGGGGGGTGACTGAGCGTGTGCGGAACAATGATGGGATGCCGTGTGGCGCGAGACTTTTCGTAGGACGTCAGGAAGACAGATTCGTATCTTTCAAGTTGAAGCCTATTGCTGAAAATGTAACCAACACCTCACAAATAAAACTAAAAATGTATGTCTATATGAAAATGTAATATATGAGTAAATATATATTAAATATGTGTAATATATACAGTACGTGCATATACAGTATGTAAAAAAAAAAAAATGACTTCAGCTTTGAGGGTACAAGCGATGTTGGTAGACGGGGACCAGGTTATATTTGACCGTTTTCTCAGACTGAGGAAGACGTTCATGTGAGGAAGAGTCGGGGCGACCTCCTCACCATGAGTTCACCCAGCAGCTTTGAAGACATGCGGCAGAGCACTTCATCATGGATTCAGTCTGTAATGGCCTTTGATAAACAACGTTGCTTTGGTACTTTTCTTTTTTTTTTATAAACATGCTTGTTTTGTCGTGTTGTATTTTTCAAAGTAGCATGACGATGGTTTGGGGTCTGGACTATGGTCTGGCAGTATGTTTTTATAATGTGCGAGTTTGTGTATGTGAGCATGTGTCTGTGTGTGAGTGCGCCAGACTTCTCCTCTGCTCCTCAATGAACAACATGAATGTGGTGTTACAGTCAGTGTACTGCTCTCACCCTAAACTGGTGTAGCTGTAGATCCTGGCGCTGAGATTACTAGAGGACGTGCTAATGTTGACGACCCTGCAGTACCGACGGGCTCGTATTGTGTGATCCCTGGTGGCTGAAACATTCTGTCTTTGTCTAACTTCATTGGCTGGCGGGTCAAAGTGCTCTGTCTCCAGCTCAGTCCAGTGAGAAGGAAGAAAAAAAAAAAAAAAGGTCATCAAGTTACTTTTGGTAATATATTATTGTTATATGATCATAAATATTGTTATTATAATTCATTCAGAAGTGCTTCACTGCTGCTACTATTGTTAGTGCTAAACAATTAAGCCTTAAATGTACATTTGTGAATATTGTGTTTAACCGTCATTCTGTTTCTTTAGAGTGACAGTATCCCCATGTTTCTCTGGTCCGTAATGTAGCATACTTGAAAGTACAAGCAGCCTGTGAGCCTGCAAGTGGTCAAATCTTCAGTGTTTTAAACCCTCTTTTTTTTCAAAATGATTTATGATTCTCTACAAGGAGACTCTGCTACAGAAACCAGACATTTTGTAACAGACTCAGGCTTCTATCACATCAATTTCTCTTCTCGGTGGGAGTTTCTGAATCTCTGTTTTTGTTTGTTTTTGAAAGTAGGCTCATGGGTTTGCTGGCTCACCCCCAAGTCTACATTAAGTCAGTATTCGGGCCATCTGTGAGAGCTAACTCAGGAATAATGTTTATCCCACCTGGCGTTCACTGTCACCCCCCACCCCCCCCCCCCCCCCCCCCCCCCCCCCCGGAGACTCAGAGTCGCAGACAGCCGCTCACCTGCCGACATGTAGCCACAAGTATCCGCTCCATGAAGTCACACAAGTAGCCTAATACTCTTCTTCTTTTGTTACACTATAACTTGCACATTTGTTGTATTATTTTCAATATTGGCAGGACTAGAAACAGCAGCTTTGTTTCCAGGTACTATGAATGAACAAGATACACCAATGCAAGGAGCTTTTAGGTACATGAACCTCTGCCATCATGAAGAAGACTGTCAGCCCTTGCTTTTTCTGGGTAATGCTGTCTGTTGACTGGAAGCCATCTTTCTCTCTGGCTCTCCTCTAGTTCTTTTGTTTTTGTTCCTAGTTGCCTTGAGAAACTTCTTGAATGATGGGTAATGGACGGGGAGGTCCCCAACCCTCGAGACTGTACCAATGTTTTGTAGATGCTTTGAAGAGGTCATTGTTGTTATGTATTATTTACCTTTTTTTTTCTTTCGCACATTATACCAATTTGTGCTTTGATACTGTCACTCTAAAGAAAAAGCTTATTGTATAAAGTTAGTGATATGAAAAGAAAGAAATTGCTGTTTTTATTTCATTTTGCATTCCTGTAAATGTATTTTGTTCCAAAGGTTTTGTTTACTTCTGTGAATAATTCTGTGAGCAGTGCCATATGTTCAGAGATCCTCATCATGGTGAGAGTCCGTTTTTGAAGAGAATGTGTTGATATTGATCTTTACCTGTTGATCTCAGAAGGTTGTGCAGTATTGCTTGTATTATGTCTTTGCCTTGTCAGCCGCATCAGGCCTCATCTATGAGCACACGTATGAGCATCTGAGAAAAATCTCGTTTGTCTTTCCAACCTGAAAGATAAAGCAGGTCCAGGATCAGTACTCAGCCTCCGATGCTCGATGCGTTCCAGCCCCTGACCCTCGAGCCTGTATTGGGGTACTTCATCTCTCTGCCATCAGAGGGAGCCGTTGTTCCATGTAGCCTGTCGCTTCTCATCAGTAAAAGGCATTCATTAACTTGTTGATGATTTTTAAAGCTCATATCATTTTGGAAGTATGCACAGTGCTGTTAATAAAATTATAAGCGAAAGCTATCACGTGTCTCTTCTGTACAGCAGAGTAAATGGGTTTAGCTTGTACCTGCCAGAACTACAAGGTCATTCTTTGCCTGCATTTTATATTTCGGTGTCTTTGTACATGTAACTATTTTCCTATGAAATAGTTAAGATTTTTTGGAGCATTTTTATGAATTTCATTGAATTGTTGCAAAAATAGGGTATGATTAGTTTTATTAGATTATTACTACACTGCAAGTTTTAATGACCTTCGAAAAACTTTGTTTATGAAAAGCTATACTAAGACTATTTGAAATATATCATGACATTGTAATGGCTTATTATACCAAGGTTTCTAATACATCTTGAATGACATTTCTAATGAAGTGAGCCAGCATAACAAAATACGCTCTCAGTTCTGGATTCAATTCCAGAACTGATGCAGTTTACTTTAGCGTTACTGGTATTGACCACAAAATCCAAACAAGACTCACAATTAACGACAAGTTGCCATTCAACTTCGACACATTTAAAAACAAGCACATTATCTCATTACTCAGATTAGAAAGTGTATTAATGTGTATCTTTGCATTGACTAAAAGTACCTACAGGATGTGCTGACAACATATTCCTTTTGCATTGCTTTACTGTAAGTGTACTGACATTAGTTCATTACAAAGAGATGCGTTGAAACTGCCTATGAAGTTAATTAAGTATTGAATAAATAACGAACGTTCACGTCTTAGTCTTGCTAACCATTAACAACCAAGGCTTTTACATGCAATTCATATATATCACATTCAAACTTAGAAACATTGTACGCTCTTCTTCTCGTTTAACAGTCAATCTTTATTTGGTATAATTTTCAAAAACTACAAACAATGAATTTGTTGAATTGAATGTCATTCAATGACATTCATTTTTACATTTCAGAACTCCAAGGCATTAAAGGGCATTTAACAGGATTCTAACACCCAAAACAATTGAACAGTGGTAGTTCTTAACAAACAGCAGAACAAAACAGACCAACAGGTGGTAGGGAGGGTAAGTATGGACCATACCTGCACATTACCAAACAGTGCGTTTGATTGTCTGCAAACTCAGTTTGCATATGTGGAGTCAGTCATTATCCCCTCCTCTGAAAGTCATATACTGTGCTATAGTCGTCATATCTGAGGGGGGTCTGTGTCTCTTAGGAAGCCAACTAATTATTTCAAGTTTCAGTCAATAAATGAATGAATTACTTAATTAAACAGAAACGTGTATTTTCCTAATGAGGGCAACTTCATGCTGTGAACCATATATATGGACCAAAAATCTGTTCGACCCTCATCCTTACCGAAAAAATAACTAGCGACAGAAATACTTTTCATTCACCTATAGTCACACTAAACAAAACCACTGTTTCACATTCGGGAAACACGACTGCATGAATAAACACAAAGAAATCAGTGCACTGAACATTAAATAAAACTAACAATACTAATTATATTCATACAAGGCTTTTGGTTGAATTTCTAAGGCATCTGTAGTTTCAACTTGGCTGTTGATAATGATTCAACACAGAAAATAACAAAACTAAACTGAAGGAAAGAAAACATAAAACTACAAATAATGTTAACCCTTCTAGGTCTAGAAACAGACTAAATGAAGCACCCGTCTCACAAAAATATCTTCTATTTAAAAATACTATAACTGTGGTGTGTTAGCTAACAACAAATGCGAATGATGTGTGATAAAATGAAATGACCTAAAAGGTTTTTTTCAGAGATAAAAGGAAAAACGTTGTGAGGCTGTAACTGGCTGCAGGCGGACGCATCATTGCATCGCCATAAAATTCAGTGTGCAGACTTAAGCGACAGGAAACAGACAAAAAAAGAAATAGTCAAAAATAAAAACAAAACATCTAACCTAAGCTTTATTTCTGTCCATAAACAGCACCCAAACAAAATAAAACGCTATCTGGTCATTTATTTTTGGTTGTTTTTCTCTATATTGTCATTTTAAATAAAGAAATATATACATAGATTATAATATGTACACTTGTTAAAGACCTGTTTCACGCTGCTCTTCAGTGATTACTTTGCCTGAGGTGATGCCTAGTTGGATATAAAAACAGTCCCTGGTCAATGTTGTGCTCCAAATCTTGTTCTGCGGACAATCAGCAATATACAACGCTTGTGGTAATACGAACTATAGGCTTAGGATAGTTCTTGGTGTCATTTTAGAAATTGAGTTTTGTCATGGTGGGATCAAATCACTTCTTCTCATTAAAGCTTATTCTAGAGGAAATGTGCTGGATAAAAGGACAGTCAAGCTAAAGTTGCAGTTCGGAGAAAATTTGAGTCTCAGTCGTGCATCGTGATCATTTATACTAGCAGGAGACTGAGCTTTACCATGACGACTAATAAGGGGCTGTGGGGGAAGCATTGGCCATTCTGAGCCTGAGAGGCAGGAACTGGAGCAGCTGTGTGTGTCCGCAGTTTCCTCCTCACTTCTGTTCATCCAGGTACGCTCCTCACTGCAGGAGGAAGACACACAAAAAGGGCAGAGGGAGAGCGGATATGTTAATGGTTCTATCACATTAAAAAAAAACAGCATCATCATAGAGTACTTTAATATCTACCTAGTTGTTTTGAGGCTGCTTTTCTCCGTTGACCCCGAGGAGCACAGCTTCCTCCGTGTTGTCGCTCTTCATCTCCACCACGATGTTATCTTTGCTGGACACCTCTTTGGTGCTGCAGGAACAAAAAACTCATGAGTCCTTTCTTAACATTAATGTACAAAAATAATGCTTTACAGCGTAGAAGAGTAGTACAAACATTCAATCACATTTCAAGTAGGTGGTGAACTTGTCAGAGAAACAGTTGCTTATTTAATCATCCAGCAGCAAAGGAACAACATTATCCTTCATTTTGTGTCCAGATTGTGTCCTCCTGAGAAACATAAGTCTTATGTTCACTTTACTTTTGTGTATGGTTTGGTGATCCTTACCAGTGGTTCTTTCATATAACATGTAATCTATTGATTTTGTAAACATTTATATTGTAGCAGCTTCGTGTGTGTGTTAACTATACAGCAAGAATAATCACATGCTTCTTGTAATCATGTTAAATTGTGTAAGTTTGAAATAAAATTACGATCGAATCTTTTTATCAGTATTCCTGTATTTGCTATTTATTTTATATCTGATTTAATGCCAAGTAGGGTTCAGACTTTCTTGAAACCAGCAGAACTTAAACTTTGGCCTTGTCTGTCCTCTGGCCAAACATCTTTAGTTGGCACCTTAAATAACATGCATATGAGTTCAGAGATTGATCTAGATATTTAAAAAATGTATAATGCTTGATACTAAAATATGTGACGGCGTATCGTGTTTTACTCACAGGTCTTGCTTGCCAGACCGGCCGCAAAGCTTGCCCTTTTTGTAGAGGAAGTAGAGCACACTACCCAAGATGGCCAGCAGCAGGATGCAGATTATGATGACTGCAATGATAACACCACTGCCCTCTGGTGGAGAAGAAGCACAACAACAAACACAGGGTTACTCACTGCCACTGGATTATGAATAAAATGATGGTATGATGCAGAAAGGTTGGATTCAGGATTGCATCAGGCTGTGCAGGAACAGTAGATAGCAGTACAGTGTGTCGAAAAGAGAGTGCAGCACTAGCTTCATTCAGGAGATCTCAACCTGGCAACCCAAAGAAAGGAAATCATTCAGGAGTGTAGGAGGAGAGGTGCGCTTATAAATGATAACATGCACAGCTAGAGGTGAAGATAAACAACTCAAATATAGTTTGATGCTTTGCCCAGCAGAAAAGGGGGGGGGGGTCTGATGAATGCTGCGAGGTGCGAGAGAGGGAGGTGCTGTGGAGGAGAAGTGGAGGGAAGCTCTTTGAGATGGAGAGGTGAGGGGGAGAGTCCTCAGTACCATAACATACAAACCTTTCTTGATTCTGATAGCTGATTCAGGTTTGAAAGAGAAAAACCACATGAGCATAATTATCAGTCGGTGGATGTCATAAATAACTCATATCAGCAGGCCTGACACACACACACACACACACACACACACACACACACACACACACACACACACACACACACACACACACACACACACACACACACACACCACACACACACACACACACACACACACACACACACACACACACACACACACACACACACACACACACACACACACACACACACACACACACACACACACACACACACACACACACACACACACACACACACACACACACACACACACACACACACACACACACACACACACACACACACACACACACACACACACACACACACACACACACACACACTCCAAACAGTCTCAAGGAGGCAAGAGTAAACCCTCTCCTAAAGAAACCCACTCTCAACCCGTCTGATGTTATAAACTACAGGCCTGTCTCTCTCCTCCCGTTCCTGTCTAAAACACTTGAACGCGCTGTCTTTAAACAACTCTCCTGTTATCTCCATCAGAACAACCTTCTGGATCCGCACCAGTCTGGTTTCAAGGCAGGTCACTCCACATAAACTGCCCTCCTTGCCGTCACTGAGGAACTGCACACTGCCAAAACTGCATCCCTCTCCTCTGTCATCATCCTATTGGACCTGTCTGCTGCATTCGACACGGTGAATCATCAGATCCTCCTTCGCACTCTCCAAAAACTTGGAGTTTCAGGCTCTGCACTTTCCCTCCTCACCTCATACCTCAAAGATCGCACCTACAGGGTTACTTGGAGAGGGTCCGAGTCCGACCCTTGTCAATTAACTACAGGGGTCCCTCAGGGCTCTGTTCTTGGTCCCCTCCTCTTCTCCTTGTACACAAACTCGCTCGGATCAGTCATTAGCCCGCATGGTTTTTCATACCACTGCTACGCTGACGACACCCAATTAATTCTGTCCTTTCCCCGCTCAGAGACCCAGGTCGTCGCACGCATCTCTGCTTGTCTAGCTGACATCTCTCAGTGGATGTCTGATCATCACCTCAAGCTCAACCTTGACAAGACTGAACTGCTCTTCCTTCCGGGAAAAGATTGTCCCACTCTTGACCTAACAATCAACATTGGCACCTCTGTTGTTTCCCCGACTCAGACTGCAAGGAATCTGGGTGTGACCCTAGATAACAACCTGTCCTTCACTGCAAACATAGCTGCTACAACCCGCTGCTGCAGATACACGCTTTACAACATCAGGAGGATGCGTCCCCAGCTGACCCAGAAAGCGACGCAGGTTCTGGTCCAGGCTCTCGTCATCTCACGCCTAGACTACTGTAACTCCCTCCTGGCTGGTCTACCTGCATGTGCCATCCGACCTCTGCAGCTCATCCAGAATGCAGCTGCTCGCCTGGTCTTCAACCTTCCTAAATTTTCCCACACCACTCCGCTCCTCCGCTGCCCTCACTGGCTTCCGATAACTGCTAGAATCCACTTCAAGACAATGGTACTTGCGTACCATGCTGCGAATGGATCTGGCCCTTCCTACATCCAAAACATGGTTAAACCGTACACCCCAGCACGTGCACTCCGCTCTGCATCAACCAAACGGCTCGCTGCACCCTCGCTGCGAAGGGGACCCAAGTTCCCATCAGCAAAAACACGTGGGTTTGCTATTCTGGCTCCAAAATGGTGGAATGAGCTCCCCATTGACATCAGGACAGCAGATAGCTTACACACCTTCCGGCGCAGACTGAAAACTAATCTCTTTCGACTCCACTTCGAGCGATAGAACTATTAACAAAGCACTTATATACTAATAAAGGGCTGGCTTATCTAAAGCCAGTTGAGTAGCACTTGAAATGTTTTTGCTCTATGAAGCCTGATGTACTTATATGATTCTGTTTTCTTGAAGTTTGTATTTTGTTGGTCGAACGCACTTATTGTAAGTCGCTTTGGATAAAAGCGTCAGCTAAATGCAATGTAACACACACACACACACACACACACGTATACATCACTTCAGGGGACATTACATTGACTTACATGCATTTCCTGACCTAAATCTGTTTACACAGTCCCCACATGTGACTGTGTAAACAGATTTAGGTCCCCACAAGTATAGTAATGCTAGGACACACACACACACACACACACACACACACACACACACACACACACACACACACACACACACACACACACACACACACACACACACACACACACACACACACACACACACACACACACACACACACCACACACACACACACACACACACACACACACACACACACACACACACACACACACACACACACACACACACACACACACACACACACACACACACACACACACACACACACACACACACACACACACACACACACACACACACACACACACACACACACACACACACACACACACACACACACACACACACACACACACACACACACACACACACACACACACCACACACTTCAGCAGAGGCTTGAACACATGATACATTTGAAGCTGAACATCTATGTGGTCAGCAGCACTTCAGTCATTTCCCCGGCCAGCCCTGGTTGATCTAATTTAACCAGCGCTTTGCCAGAAACAACAACCAAGAACAGTTTTCCTCTATGGGGCTGGATATTTCCTGGCATAATGTAAGAGAGAGAGGAGGCAGGAGGAGGAGGAGGAGAGTAAACACAAGGCGGTACCCGTAATGGGAGTCAGGAGACTCTCTCTGAGTGCATTTAAAGCATCAGCTGCTTTCTAGAGTCACACTGATGCATGTGTGCGTTTGTGTGATGTGTATAACAACATCATGCTGACAAAAATGCAATAGTCATAACACTGCTGTATGCAGAAGGTAAACTATGATGTTATCTGCTTTAGTTGATTACTTTTATGGCATACAATTAAATAACCCCTCATTTTTACAAAATGTGTAAAACTTAAGATGAAAAAAGACCATATATAAGCAACATACGATTAATTACATAATACCCTTCCAAGCACCTTGGAGAATGACAACAATATCACCCTTTAGAAACTATAAATACCTTGTGGAAATCACAGTTCTTTCTCGTTACAGACACAGCTTTAGTGACCTTCAGATATCATTTCTGCAGCTTTTAAGATTTCTTTTTCTAGCTTTTATTCTTTTTGATTAACTCACATCAGCCCAGCCGGACCGTGAAGTAAAGGAAGGATCACTGAACATGAAGATAATAAACTTTACTGACAACTGAAGCATCACTCTCACTCTCAGTCAGTCCTTCTTAATGGATTGTTTTGGATAGACTCATTTCTAAACGTTTTCTAGTTGATTTGTGTGGACTGGTTGTGGGGCCGACAGGGCAAAGTGACTGTGTCTTACCTGTGGGAACGGCAGTGCTAGTAGTGGTGGTGTCAGGTGTGGGAGTGTGTTTAGCTGAAAACAGACAAAGTTAAAAAAAAAAGAAAAAGAAAGAAGTAACACCGACAACAAGGGGAGGAACAGAAAGACGGGGCAAGACAACGGAACACATATAGACGTACACAAAAAAACACAGAGCATGAAACCCAAGCAGCAGGAGGAACTCACTGGCTGTGATGTTGAAGGACACGGCGTCCGTGCCGAAATCGTTGGAGGCGTTACAGAAAGCTGTAAAGTCAGAGGTGACTTTGATGCTGACCACACTCTGAAGGACGCCCTCTGTATCCGTTTTCGATTTTGCATCAAGAATCTGGCACAAAAGCACAAAACAGTTAACACAAAGGTTTCCCTTTCTTCTGCACAGGTCACATTTAAAATTAGATCCACCTACAATTTCAATTGTCTCCTTATTGACTCAAGATAGAGCACTAATTATACAACCTTTAAAAAAATTATCAAGCAAATCAAACCTACAATCACTAGTAAACATCACTTACTTATTTCTGGCACTGCTTTTATATTCTCTCGTTGTTTTTACATATCAGCTACTTTCGTTATGTGTTCATGCATTGTACTGTAATACCTTTCCGTCAGAGGTGGACCACATGACAGTGGGAGCAGGGTAACCTTTGACATCACAGCTCAGCTCCACCATATCCTCAAAACTCTTCTCGAACTCTGTGAACTTTGGTTCTATGATCTTTGGTGGGCCTGCAAGGATAAGAGCAATAAATAACAACTTAGTTAAAGTTCAAAACCTCAAATATTTTGGAAAACATATTGATTAGAGACTCAATTATAATTGGGTATCAGTAACCGGATTACCATTGACGTTAACATTAAGTGTGTTGCTGGTTTCCATTCCTTCGAACTCAGGAACATTCACCACGCACTTGTACGTCCCTGCTGTGTCAAATGAAGCATCCTTCAGGTTCAAACTGTGGCCCATTGAAACCTTCTGTCCATTCTACACAAACACAAAAACACACACATAAACATACAGAAACAGGGGTCTTAGTAGATCAGACGGCTGCTTCAACAATCTGTTTACACAAGGTTATGAAGAAAACTATTCAAAAAATCCTTTCCCTCTTTGATCACCTGACACTATTACATTCTCAAAACAAAAATAAAAGCGTAGTCTCATCCCAATATAAATCTGTTCAACAATAAACATAGTACCCGATGACACAAAGCAACACTAGTCTGAAGGGTTTTCTAAATGCTATTTCTTTCATTTGAGTGTTAGTTATTGTATAGGACAATAATGTTGTGGCTTTTAGTGTACTGTTACTGTACTGCTGCGTGTCAGTGACCTTAAACCAGACTGTGTGTGTCTGGAGAGAAGAGAGGGCGTTACAGGTGGCCGTCAGCTCCTCTCCCATGGACAACTCCACACCATCCTTAGGTATCACGACAGCTGGATCCAGATCTACACACAAAGCAGGGAGAGAGAGAAAATATCAAACCTGTTGCATGCACTCATTCTGCTGGTAAAATGTAATGAATATCATGGTCACTAATCATATCTGTGCAGGTTCCTTACAGTTGACAAACACAGTGGTGTTTCCCGAGACCTCCTCCCAGGTGTCCGTGTCAATAGAGGTACATGTATAAACTCCACTGTTCAGACGGGACACATTTTCCAGCACCACCGTTTTGTTGTCCCAAGAAAAACCATCCTAAAAATGTCAAGGGAATTTGATCAAAACATAACTTTTACATTTTGACGTCAATAACTCTTTCTGCTGAGGAGGATAGTGATCAGAAAGATCACATAGTAGATAAGTAAGTTGTATTAACAATAATGCTGTCTTTCCATGTGCATAAATAAAGAGCACAAAGTAGATTGTCTTACTTCATTTGAGATTGAATTGATTGAGAATAGCTTATTCCCGTCGACATGGCAGTGAAGTTCAATGGAGTCCCCTTCCTTGATTTCCCCCTTTGGTGACTCCACCCAAACACTGACAGCTGTGGAGGGGTCTGAAACACAGAGAGGAATTATAGGTTAGACCACCAACCTAAACTTTGAGTTGTGGATGGATTATGTGACGGCCACAACCGCTCCTGAACTAAACGTGCTTGGGGGAAAGGACCCCTTATCTGAAAGACAAATGGAGCAGGGGCCCCACTTAATATATATATATATATATATATATATATGTGCTGCATATCAAACTGGAACTATAATTAGTGAAAGTTGTGAATACATATATAAATATATTATTTTGCTTTGTTCAGCATCCATCCCATATGAAGTGTATTTGGCATAAGCAATGTTAATGATAGAACATAAAACTATATTTTAGACAATGGTGTGCTTCCAAGTGGAGGCTTATATATCAGCATGATAATGGAACTGGTGACAAATACCGTATAGTACTCTTGTGTCGACATAGATTGATGACATATTGTTTCATACCAGCGGTCAAAATGGCTCCGTTGGTTTCTACAGCTGTGATTGTCTCTCATTGAAAGGAACGATGCTGCTGTTAAACTATGTGTGGAACTCACAGTACACAGTGATGTTAATGGAGCTGGTTTCGGTCATCCTTAATCCTCCGGGAACAAAGTAGGTGACCTCGCAGTAGAACAGGTCATCTTTGTCCTCCTTCATCACCTTCATGCTCAGCTCGCTCCTAACTGAGTACAGGCCACTGGACTCAGTGGTGATGCTCGGCACCACCTTCACCACTGGAGAACACAGAAACATTTGCAAACACACACGAGGGAAGATAAGGAAATGGAGCAAATGCATTGAACCGCATTAAGCTCAGACTAATTCAGTGTAGAAATGCATTCCAGATGTTGATATGATCTGTCTCACCATCCTGAGCAGCGTGTATGGGCGTTTTGTTTCTGTACCACGTAATGTTCGGCTTGGGGTAGCCATGTTTGACCTCACAGGTTCCAATCTATAGGAGAGGAGAGAGAAGAAGAGAAGGCAAAATTAAAAGTATAAAATTGTAGCTTCATTTCATCATGTTTATACTCTGATGTTCGTCATTCAAAGCTTTGTTACCTTGGATGGGTTTTCTTCATGGACGGAGATCCCTGTTTGCACACCCTCGATAGTGGGACTACCTGGTGTTTCTGCATAGGAATTAAGAAATGAATTAAGAACCAGAAAAGGCAACATTTCCAACAAAAAAAGGTTTATGTTTGGGCAGCTGATCATTTGTAGTTTCAGTGTCTGTTGTTGTTGTCTGTTGAGTTGACGTGTCAGTGACAGGTTATTGGCTAAAGGGAAAAGTGCTGAAAAATGATGGGAGTAAAACGAGTTTGAATATTTATTTGAGTTGAATTTGGAAAAAGTTCTGGAACGATCACAATTTAACTTTTTTAAACATAATATCTGAGGTATGGAAAAATGCTGAATTAATCTGATAAAATGTAATGCTCAGAATATCTAAATAAAGTTTCTGGTTGAAGAAAAGATGAGATAAGATATGATGAACGAGTTATGAATATGAAGTTGTTGAAAGAGTTGAAAAAGTTAAAAACTGGTTCACAAGTTCACATGTTGTACGACACATTCTTCAAGGGGTCATTTATTATTCATTTCAAATCCGGTGTTATTAGCACTGCCTTCAAGGTGTGGGCTTTGTAATGTTTGACATTTTCTCCCTTGTTATTCAAACCATTAGAAAAAATAGGCCATGTCAGATTGAATCTTACCGAACACCTTCAGCTTTGTGCGTCCCTCCCCAGTCCCATCCGTCAGAGCTTTGACGACACAGATAAACTCCAGTTCATCGTCCAGCTGCACGTCGCTGACCGTCAACACGATCTGTCCGTCGGCTCCGGTACCGTTCACACTGATCCGGTCTGTGAACGGCGTGCCTTTGTCCACAACCTTTATGGTGCTGTCCTGGTAGTAGATTTTCTGCCTCTCACCCGTCCGTGTCACCTAAAGGTCACAGTTCAAACACATGAAACATCGCCTGCGTGGACACATCATACCTCTCTATGTAAGAGTGCACCAGGCTTGATGAAACTCACGTAGAACCACTGAATGACGTTGCCGCCGACACCGTCAGACGATGTGAACATGCAGGCGATCTGAGCCATTTCTCCCCTGTACACCTCCACTCTGTCCTCCATGTTCACTTCCACATTAGCCCACGCTGAAAAATAGAAAGAAAATATGGTTGTGGTTGAGTAATAATTCAACATGTTCAGTGATCTCACCATCAACCTCAATATTTGCACGCAAATAAAGAAAAGGTGTGTCATTTTACTCCTTTTGTCTCTTAAATGTTGTATTCCTCAATTCATTTTTTACTTTATTTCAACCCTTTTGCAGCCAAAATTCATGTCCAAGTACATTTTGTTAATGTTTTTTAAGCAAATATATTTTGTGTTATAACAAAATTGTCTTTAGTTTCAAAACCTCTAAAAGGAGCTGGGTTTGTCTGATTGAAAGCTGAGTTGGTAACTGTCAATCCTCCGAAATCCATCAAATAAAAGAGTGACGGTCAAACCTTAAACAGATAAAAAAAGATGTGGAAAGTGTGTTGGCAGTATCCCATTTGTGTCCATTATGATTATTAATTTGAGGAATTTTACAGCAGTAACTAACACTTCTGATAAGGATTCTTTAAGTATTCTCTGGTGGACCAATTATGTAATGAAGATCAGAACATTAAAGACAACATTGCTTTATTTAAATGAACCTGAATTGGATGGGACTGCGATACAACCGAACCTCGAGGTGAGAAGCTGTGACAGAGGATTAACTTAGATTTACCAGCATTTTGGTGAAGAAACTAACTTCTGCATTCCCGCAATGTTGAGGCTAGGAGACAAAAAGACGAGAGGAGAAAGTCATGGAGGGTCACATGGAAGAGTGGGATGCTATGACAGGAATGAGAAGCCCACCCATGTCCACATTAATGTGCTGCATTCCACCATGGCACCCTCTCACAGGAAGAAAGGCTCAATTTACAGGCAGCATAGTAGCCCCACTGTTCCTCCATGATCCGTCTCTGAAGAACGAGTGGTTTTCCCCTTCCAGGGTCTCTAACCATCCCCATAGTCTATAGGAGGGTCCCCCAATTACACTTTACATCGCAGCGTGTCAGTAGACGTATGAGATGCCAATGGGAGCGGTCGCCCTGAGGTGACGAGGCTGCCAGGTTTGATTTAGCTCTTCCTCACTGTCTGTGCATTGTGTTGCTGAATGTAGCTTTTCTATGAGTTTATGTCGTGAGCTGCTCAGAGGAATGTAAATCGTGGCCCATCTGTGTCCCGCCTTTTTACTCGTTCATGTTAACCTCAAGAAGCACAACAGACAATACGCAATAAATACACAAGAAAAACGTTTGTCTTATATTGTATATTTTTCTGATTAAATGATGTTGTCATAATATCCAAGACTACGATTTATATAGTATAATCTTGTCTTCATCAGGAAGAAGTGAGGTTTGGTGGGAAGCTCTGGAAAAAGCTAGTGAGTTGAAATTAGATTTGGAAAGAAAAAAGAGCCCTTTCTTTTTGAAAGACACATTCATGCATAAAAATGCTACTTCTTTCCTCCTGTTACACTCGGTTTTACCATAATAATGACTGTCAAATATGGCCACTGGTCAGGCAAAACAGCATTAGTTTATTAGTCTAAATGAATTACTTTATTTCAAAAATACAAATTAGCTATTTTCAACCATAAGTGTGCATCAGTGAAAGAAGTGAAAAAGACTACATGAATGTGTTTGTTTTCATGCAGACTAAGGGCACTATGATACTGTGTCTGGTAACCAAAGACACTACCAGGAAAAGCAATCAGATGCGAAGTTTTGCATTAAAGTGAATTACGATAACACCAGAGCTTCCTGCTGATAAGTTTATTACCCAGCAGACATCCCTGCTCCACTCCTGGCCTTTCATTTCTTCTTCACCTGCATAACAAACATCTACTGCATCCCGCCCAAACTAAACCTCTGTTTGCATTTGCATCAACAACATGCCTCCCCCTTCTTTGCAAACTCTTCCTCCCTCTGTCCACATTTCAAACCCCCTTTTCTCTCCCACCTGCCTCTCCCTCTGCAGCCGTTACGTTTAGCACCGGCTAATGGAGCTGGACGGATGCTTTCCTGTTAAAGAAATCCAATTAGTCGCTCCAACATAGACATTTCCTGGCCATTAGCATTGAAAGGACAATGCTGACTCACTCGCAGCATCCCCTCCCCCACCTGAGGACTTAGAGAAGTGGGAATCAAGCAAATTCTGATTCTAGTTGGCATCACACCGATTATTTCACAAACTCTTTCCCATTCCTGTCTGACAGCGGGAGTCTGTTTTCTCATGGGAATCTCAATCATATCTTATTAGTAATTTGACCAGCATTCACATCACAGTGCATCAATCAGAGCGGCTCGGACTCAAAGGCCTCGGATCGATGCTCTGCGATGAGAAGAGGGCAGATATTGGAGTCCACACACATTTCATAATGCTCCTAAAACAGTATGACGGAATAAAGCTGAGCATCGGACAGTGTAGTGGCAATTTCTTATATTACTTTATATGGTAAAACCAAATGATGATATTATACTGAGGAAAACTGTTCGGTCAGCTCAACCTGTTGTATCCCAAGGTAGCTTCCTGCCAAGGTCGTATTTGAACAATGAGGCTCTTGTTCCTTATGAGAGCATTGTAAGATAACAGCTAGGAGAAGTTGTTATCTCTTTCCTTTTGCACAGCAACATCCATCCATCCATTCATCTTCTCCCGCTTATCCGTGGTCGGGTCGCGGGGGTAGCAGTTCCAGCAGAGAGCCCCAAACGTTCTATTCCCTGGCCACATCAACCAGCTCTGACTGGGGCTCCCAGGCCAGCGAAGATATATAATCCCTCCACCTGGTCCTAGGTCTACCCCTTGGTCTCTTCCCAGCTGGACGTGCCTGGAACACCTCCCTAGGGAGGCGCCCAGGTGGCATCCTAACTAGGTGCCCGAACCACCTCAACTGGCTCCTTTCGACGCGAAGGAGGAGCAGTTCAACTCCGAGTCCCTCCCGGATGACCGAACTTCTCACCTTATCCCTAAGGGAGACACCAGCCACCCTGCGGAGAAAACCCATCTCGGCCGCTTGTATCCGCGATCTCATTCTTTCAGTTATGACCCATCCTTCATGACCATAGGTGAGGGTAGGAACGAAAATGGCCCGGTAGACAGAGAGCTTTGCCTTCTGGCTCAGCTCCCTTTTCGTCACAACGGTGCGGTAAAGCGACTGCAGTACCACTCCCGCTGCTCCGATTCTCCGGCCCATCTCACGCTCCATTGTTCCCTCACTCGAGAACAAGACCCCGAGATACTTGAACTCCTTCACTTGGGGTAAGGACTCATTCCCTACTTGGAGTGGACAGTCCATCAGTTTCCAGCTGAGAACCATGGCCTCAGATTTGGAGGTGCTGATCCTCATCCCAGCCGCTTCACACTCGGTTGCGAACCGATCCAGTGAGTGCTGAAGGTTGCAGACCGATGAAGCCATTAGAACCACATCATCTGCAAAAAGCAGTGGTGCAATCCTTAGTCCACCGAACTGCAGACCCCCTCCCCCATGACTACGCCTCGAAATCCGATCCATGTATATTACAAACAGGATTGGTGACAAAGCGCAGCCCTGGCGGAGGCCAACCCTCACCGGAAATGGGTCCGACTTACTGCAGAGGACCCGGACACAGCTCTCGCTTTGGGAGTACAGAGATTGGATGGCCCTGAGTAGAGACCCCCTCACCCCATACTCCCGCAGCACCTCCCACAGTAACTCCCTGGAAACTCGGTCATACGCCTTCTCCAAGTCTACAAAACACATGTAGACCGGATAAGCGTACTCCCAGGCCCCCTCCAGGATCCTTGCGAGAGTAAAAAGCTGATCCGTCGTTCCACGACCAGGACGGAATCCGCATTGTTCCTCCTCAATCTGAGGTTCGACAATCGGCCTGACCCTCCTTTCGAGTACCTTAGAGTAAACTTTCCCGGGGAGGCTGAGTAGTGTGATGCCTCTGTAATTGGCACACACCCTCTGATCCCATCCATCCATCTTCTCCCGCTTATCCGTGGTCGGGTCGCGGGGGTAGCAGTTCCAGCAGAGAGCCCCAAACTTTCTTTTCCCTGGCGACATCAACCAGCTCTGACTGGGGGATCCCAAGGCGCTCCCAGGCCAGCGAAGAGATATAATCCCTCCACCTGGTCCTAGGTCTACCCCTTGGTCTCTTCCCAGCTGGACGTGCCTGGAACACCTCCCTAGGGAGGCGCCCAGGTGGCATCCTAACTAGGTGCCCGAACCACCTCAACTGGCTCCTTTCGACGCGAAGGAGGAGCGGCTCAACTCCGAGTCCCTCCCTGATGACCGAACTTCTCACCTTATCCCTAAGGGAGACACCAGCCACCCTGCGGAGAAAACCCATCTCGGCCGCTTGTATCCGCGATCTCGTTCTTTCGGTCATGACCCATCCTTCATGACCATAGGTGAGGGTAGGAACGAAAATGGCCCGGAAGACTGAGAGCTTTGCCTTCTGGCTCAGCTCCCTTTTCGTCACAACGGTGCGGTAAAGCGACTGCAGTACCGCTCCCGCTGCTCCGATTCTCCGGCCCATCTCACGCTCCATTGTTCCCTCACTCGAGAACAAGACCCCGAGATACTTGAACTCCTTCACTTGGGGTAAGGACTCATTCCCTACCTGGAGTGGACAGTCCATCGGTTTCCTGCTGAGAACCATGGCCTCAGATTTGGAGGTGCTGATCCTCATCCCAGCCGCTTCACACTCGGTTGCGAACCGATCCAGTGAGTGCTGAAGGTCGCAGACCGATGAAGCCATTAGAACCACATCATCTGCAAAAAGCAGTGGTGCAATCCTTAGTCCACCGAACTGCAGACCCCCTCCCCCATGACTACGCCTCGAAATCCGATCCATGTATATTACAAACAGGATTGGTGACAAAGCGCAGCCCTGGCGGAGGCCAACCCTCACCGGAAATGGGTCCGACTTACTGCCGAGGACCCGGACACAGCTCTCGCTTTGGGAGTACAGAGATTGGATGGCCCTGAGTAGAGACCCCCTCACCCCATACTCCCGCAGCACCTCCCACAGTAACTCCCTGGGAACTCGGTCATACGCCTTCTCCAAGT